TAACTTGCACGGTTTACATAATTAAAAAATTTCCAATTAAAAAATAAAGAAGATAAACTGCCTTTTTGATTTGCACTTGTTATTAGTGATCATTGGATTGGATGATATGAAATCGGCGAACAATAAACATTCCTAATTCACTTTAATTCTAACCAAATTAATATATTAACTGTAGCCAAACGATTAAATTTACTTTAGTGCATATTAACCAAAATCCAAACGTATAAAATTTACAAACATTTATTGACTTCATAAAAAAAAATAGTATATGAACAAGGTAACCGTCATTTTTCATAAAAGATATGCAATTAAAGTCTAACGTCGAAGTCAGCATATCTGGACGTGAGTGGAGGAATGAAGTCCTTGGAATATTGATTGGTTGGAGTTTTATTTTTAATAAGTAATAAATGATTATTAATGATTCACATAAAGTATTCTTTGTCAATTTGAATTTCAATGCCAATGAACGGGTTATAAATGGTAAATATGTAAAAAAAAATTATATCATGGAAAATGTTTGAAATGTTTAAGGACTAAATTTATAACTTTAACCAAACAATAAGGACTATTTTTGTAATTTAAATAAATTCTAAATTACATTAGGTCTCCATAAAGAATTTAACAAGTGTCAATTGAGTATTGGTTCATAACTTAATGTCCTAATTATTCATTTTTCATAGAACCTGATACTATATATATATATATATATATAATATATATATATATATATATATATATATATATATATTCAATCTTTTCGTTTTTGGTTCCGTAGGAGCAAGTCAGAAAGTAGAACCATATGATTTGATTCGTTCTCAATAGCCATGAGATGATCATCTTAGGGTGATCTTTTTGTCGACTGATGCTCCTATTACACTCGTAGTCTCTGAAGGATGAAAACCAACTATGTAGCATCTACACAGAGAATTCAATTATTATATACGCCATTAGTCTGATACTTTGTAGGAACTACCCGTAATAATGAACTTGCAAAACGGATCTGTTTATCATAAAGAGATTCATATGTGTGTGTGTGTATATATATATATATATATATATATATATATATATATATATATATATATATATATATATATACTTCCTAATAAAACGTTGGACAGACAATTTTAACTTTTTTTCTTTTTAGTTTTAGGAAATTATAATAACAGTATGTATACTTGGATAATTTGTAGGATCGTGTTTTTCCAACACTTTCCAAAATTTATAATTCACCCCTATTGCCTGGGATACAAGAATTCAGAAGTGTGATAATCCAAAAACAAAACCAATCTAAATTACAGGCCTAATTCGAATTGAGAAACACAACATACATTTGCTTGATGTGCTTTTTCAGAGATAGATAGATTATATGATCTATTTCGTGTATATGTATACCAACCCGTTATTGGAACATTCATCATCCTTATATAGATGAAAGAAGATGGTTGGAAGTTGGCTAACTTCCTTTTTGGCGCCAAAATGAGTTGGTTAGAAGACATAACTAACTTATGACATCATCATGATGTCACACCTGATTTTGGCAGGAAATGCATGTGGGAACCACCGTCAGGGGCTCTGCCCCTTGGAACCCTATACCTAGGGGTGCTACCCCCAAACCCCTGTATTCCTTAGTCTATATTTAATACTCTGAGTGTGCACCCTGCACCTCCAATGTCAGATTGCAAACAGAATTCAGACTATCTCGATAACAATACTAACTACACTAAAATATGTTGATAACACTTCACCAACATTTCTAATATGTTTTCATTAGAAACTTGACAAATAATATAGTAAAAGTTGTATTTCTTAATTTATATCCATAAATCGTTTTTTAAGGAAAAATTTCATATATATCATTGTAAACTTTTAAATTACATATATATCCATCTAAAACTATAAAAATTACATCAATATCCAAAATCATATTTTATAAATTTTTATTAAATTTTTTTATCTAGTATTCAAAATTATATATTAGTTTACCAAAATACTCTTTCCTCTTTCTTCAATCGATTAAGCCCTCTTATTTATTATTTCAATATATTTGTGTCGATCAATTCAACATCCCCATTAAGTTACCGTCTCTCTCACCTTCTTCTCCCTTGCCCTCTACCGACTTCCACCACCGGTAAACCTCAGTGCCGCCATTCTTTCCATGCTACTTCGGAAAACCAATGCAACTGACCACTCCTCACCATTATGATCGGTCTTTGATGATTAATTATTGTTTTCTCGGTTTATGATTTGATGTAATCCGTTTGGAATTATATGTTTAACTAGTGAAGTAATTGATTTTGGATTGTTCAGTTTGTGTTGCATTGTACCGATATGTGCATAATTTACAATTATACAATTGATACCCTAGTTTTTATGTATTGCCTTCGTTTCTGGTAACTGTGCTTTGAAAGCTTGGTGCATTTATCATTAAGAATCGAATTGACCAAATTAATGTTCCCATTGAAGCCTTTTGTGTCTTTTAATTTCTAGCCCCAAGAAGAATCTCTATTATTTATACGAAGTTTATTAGGATTGGACAAGGAAATCCCAGCTACATGTCCTATTTTTATAAACAATTCTTTGACCTTTGTGGTTTATCTAAAGCTTATGGCTTAATCTTTTATACGTTTCGATTCCACATTCAATTATCAATGGAGATTGTTGGTGGTGAGATTGCAAATGTGCCGAAGAGCTATTCTTTAAATATGTTCAAGGATTTTGTTCCTATTTGATAAAAATAATAATAAATAAATAAAATTGTTTTGCAAGTTAGGCCTTGGAAAAACAACAAACAAACAAAATAAAATAAAAAGATGAACTGTGAAACCAGTTGGGCTATCAAAGACCGGAACAGTCCACACTAATATCCTAAATCGGTCCAAACCTAAACCATAAACAAGGCATCGACCAATATCAAGCCCGGGTCCTAATATGCATCTCTACCTATAATTTTGTTGTTTTCAGTGTTATATTCAATGAGTTACAATCCTTCAAAGATGAGATATCAAAGCTTAAATATTTAAACTTTACAACAACAAATTTAAACTATTGGATTCCGTGAAACTTGTTAAACAAGCATATCTCATTCGTTTTAAGTCGGATTGACATGCTCTTTTTTCCAACATGTAATTTAGAGTCTGTAAATGATTTTAGACTATAATTTTGTTGTTTTTGATGTTATATTCAATGAGTTACAATCCTTCAAACAAATGGTATAAAGTATAGATAATCAAAGTTTGATCGGTCCAAAGGGCACAATAAACAAAAACATATGCATTCTTACGAGTTGTACCGTATCAAACCCAAAAAAGTATTCATTATAACGAGTTGTAACATATCAAACAAAAACATATTTGTTTTAACGAGTTGTATCAAACCCAAAAACGCGTTTTAACAAGTTGTACCGTATGCATAAAAGTTGTACCGGTCCAAACGGGTCCAAGAACCCGGAAACTCAGACCTGGACTCAGTAAGTCTCATCCGGTCCGGTCCATGGTCCACAATAGTCTCCGAAACCGGTCCGGTCCAAGAGCCGGTCTAGTCCGGTCCAAATGCTCACCCCTGCCTCTACCGACTACCATAATCCGTGGAAATGTGCTAACTTGAAAATTTTATTATCTTTACTCATGGCATGGGCCCATATTTTTAGCGCTCATAATTTTCACTAGAGGTGGGTAAAAGAACCAATCCAAACTGATCCAAAAAAGATGCATATGGACTGAACCAGTCCTGGACCAGTTGGTCTTTTTAACAGTCCAGACTGAAAGCCTTAGTCGATCCTTAAAATTGATATACATGGCAGTCCAAACTGATCCTAAACCGGTCCAAAGTTGAACCAGTCAAAAAATAAACCAGTCCATATTTTGGATAACTGCCAATCCAAACCGGTCCAAAAAATGTAAAACCAAATATTATTAGTAGCCCAATTAAATATCAGGCCTCCAATTATGGTTTTGTTTCAACTTTTTCATACGTGTAGAATTCCCTTACTTTCCTTTTTATAATGTTTCCACCTTACTTTTCTTTTGTAAAGAAGCGATGTGCGACAAACACAAACTCCATAAGTCCATTCATTTGCTTTTTTTTTTTTACTCTAAGAGCATCTCCAATGATAACTTATTTATAACTTATTATTATTGATCTTTATTTTTTTTATAACTTATTACCATTGGAGCATAGAACTTATTTGCTTTTTTTTATTGATCACTCAATATATATTGAGTGGTCCATATACTTCTATGTTTTGTCATTTAACACCCTCATACTTTAGTTATATTTCATTTTACCTTCTAGATATATTTTAGTTTTAAATATATTTTATTTATTTACTAGTTAATTATTTATATTAAATATATAATGACATTTCTTTTATGGAATATAAAATTATAATGATTACATAATTTTTTCTAATATTTTTTATCACTATTCCGTAATAGTTTTTTCGTATTAAATTTTATAATACTTTTAATTAAAATAAAATATAATGTGTGTTTAAAAAAGAATAATTAAATAAGGGGGTTTTATAGAACATTTTAGATAGATATAGATAAATTATTTAAAATTTTATAAAAAAAAGCTATTTGATGAGGTTAACCATTAGAGTGATTATTTAATTATAGGTTAATTTATTGTAATAATGATGAGACAATAGTTTTAAGTCTTAATATGACTCAACCATTGGAGATGCTCTAATAATAATAACTAAGTAATAAACCATTACTCAACGACTACAAAGTATAAATGCGATCACTTACTTTTGGCAGATTTGTTTTTTCAAAAACCAGTACACTACAACGGTTAGAATTACACCAACGGATGTAATCAACATGAGCAATAGTTATAATTGTTTTTTGCTGATTTTTTTACCATATAAATACTTATTCATATCCAACTATTTTTCTCACCTCAAATTCTATCTCTTACTCAAAATGCCTCTAAATTTACACTACAAAGCTTGAAGTTTCCACACCCCGATAATGTTGGGTGCCGAAGAAGTAGTTCCCGTCCCGTTGGTCGCTCCGGTTTTGATCCGAACCAACCATTTGATGAAATTAGCAAGGAAATCATACCGCACCTGTTTGGAATAATTTTGCGCAACTACGTCAATAGAAAAAATTATACGGTAGATGCTATCGGTGTGGAAAAGTTTATGCCAGTGCAAATGCGACGCTAGAACGACATGGTGTAAGTTTTCTTATTTTTTATTATCGCTTTAATAGTTTCTTATGTTTAATTAGTTACTTTAATTTGTTCCCTTTATTTAGAAGTAATTTAATTTATGATTAATTTAGTTTAGTTTATGATTAATCATTTGCATTACATAATTCAATTATTAATTCCAAATGTAATACTAGTCGATATAACCCGGACAATGAAATGGAAAAAAGAGGCGCGAAAGTGTCATCATACACTAACACTGATGTTGATGAAGATATTGCCGACACTCAAGAAGCACGAAATGCAAATTTTACACGTACATCATCCAACATCACTCCCGGCCAAGATTACTCCAACCCCGACCAAGAAGTTCCGTATTCCGACGACAACTACAACTTTTGGAATTTCCCTCCGGATATGACATTCTGATGATATATTTATGTTTTAGAAATTATCACTAATGTTATGAACTTATTTATATTTACTATGTCTTTTACGCAATGTTATGAACCCAATTTCTCTATGTTTTCTATGTAATATTATAAACTTAATTTTTAAGTTTATATGTTAATGATAGGTTGAAGTTATGAAATCTTGGAATTATTACATATGTATTTGATGGATGATGATTTATAATGTTATGAAATAAGACAATCGAAGTGAAATAAAAAACTAGAAAAACCTAAACCTGAAAAAATCCGAAACGGAACCTGAAAAAATCCGAAACCGAACCGAAAAAAGACCGGTATCGGACCAGTTTATAGCAAAACCGATCTAGAAAAAGACCGATCCGGAAAAAGACCGATCCAAAAAAGGACGGAACCGAAAAAGGACGGACCGAGGACCGGTCTAAAAAAGACCGGTCCAAAAAAAGACCAATCCAAAAAAAAAATGATCGACTTAGGACCGATACAAGACCGGTTCAGGATCGTTTTTTGTGCACCTCTAATTTTCGCTAATGTTTATTTTAATCTTTAGGTATTTTTGAATCAAAAGAATGTCTTGCCAAGTAAGTGGTCAGGGCATCTGTTTACCATAGAGAGGAGAGGCTTCCCTTTCCCTAACTCTTTTTTTTTAAGACACAAGTCACAAGTCCTCCCCACCCATATCCTGACCCAAGCCCACAATTTTGGCCCAAATTTTAATATTTGTTAGTAGTTAAGGTTCTAAAATTTTCAAATTTTCATTTTTTAGATTAATTTATCGAAGTTAACCGTAAGGTTCTAAATATTTCAAATTTAACCTTGATATTACTCCATCGATTGTTTTTTCACTTTCATTTATCCGAATTCTACCCTTAAAGTTCTAGATATTTCAGGTTTCACTCTGAAATTTTCTCCATTAATTTCATTTAGTACATTCCATATTGATATTACACTCTCTTCCGTATAAAATAGTTTGGTTATTAGGTAGTACAGTTGAAGTTTTTACCTATGAATAAAACTCATTCAAAATATATTTTAATACAACAAAAGTAGATTATTACTATAACCAAACTATTGGATAAATATAAAAATGATGAAAATGGATCTAACAAACAGACTATCTTCAATAGTGTTTTTGTCACACAATATCTCAACTAAATAAGATATCAAACAAATCAACGTAATACCCCTAAACATAGTTTCTTGATTTTTAATTCAACTAACAAGACAAAATCACATCATATCTAATTAAATGTTTCATTCTTATGTTCAACCATAATCAGATAATCTTTATAATGTTCCTCTCAAACTTTATAAAACCAAAAATAACAAAGTTAACAAATCAAACGACTAAACCACAATCTGAAAACACCAAAATGCTACTCCATAATACATATAACATATGATGATAAATTATGATATATTTGCATTTGATAAACTTTTACTCACCACAGAACCAGAAGAAGTTAACATGAGATGCATACCTCCTAATGTAGCAACACAAGAATCAGTAGTAGACAAATGAGGCTGCACTTGTTCCCATATCTTCTTCTTTGCAATCTGATTAGGTGATGCAGCTTCAGGTAGCTTTTCTTTATCATCTTCACCCCCAAACCATATCCTCTCTCCTAGGGTTACCCCTTCAGGTGGCTCAAGCAACTCAACATTCTCATGTGACACATCAGAAGCAGCCATTAACATTCCAGATGACTTCACACCCCGCATGTTTCTTGGCTTTAAGTTAGCAAGAACTACTACTTTCTTGTCTTGTAATTGTTCAAGTGGAATGTATTTCACAAGCCCACTACAGATTATCCTTGGCTCTGGTTCTCCAATGTCTACTTCTTCAACGTATAGTGAATCAGCCTCTTCGTGTCTCCATGCTTTCAAGATTTTTCCTACCCTTATGTCTAGTGTGTTTGCCATGTCTTTTATCTTCATCATATCAACAACAACTTCATCTTTTACTTTGTTGTCATCGGTTGTTGTGGGAGTTGAAGGATCTGTGGATACAGTTTGGGATGTGCAAAAGATTCTTCTGGTTGATTTTGATGCGATTTGTAATGGGGATATGGAAAGAGAAAGAGAAAGAGAAGGAGGGATTGGTGTTGAGAGTCTATTTCCATTTGCTTTTGATGCAGAGTGTAATGGTGAAGAACATGTGGGAAGAAGTGGACGAAGGGGAATGCCACTGAGATTGCAGTAAGAAAGTAAACGTAAGCCACTGGTTTTTGGAAGGCTGATTGGCACCATTTTTATGGCTTTTTTGTGAGATATTCTGCAATGGAAATGGTTGAAAAGATTTCCAAGTGAAAACAAGATTGCATTTTCATATCATGTATTTAGTAAGAACAGAAAGCTCACACAATAAAAAACTATCACTACACATTTTGAGACAATCTGAATGACTAATTGATTGTATCGTTATTCCCATTTTGAGCATAAACACAAATGCTAAAAAGCTTCAAATCCAATCATATACCAATCGATTCAGAAGTAATCAAATTAGTTTCGCTATGAGGATATCAGAAAAACTCTATAAATCTAAATTATTCCCCAATTAAGCAACTCGTTTTGGTTTATTTCAGTTTCGAACAATACTCGCAGCTATTTGTGTTCCATGATAATGCATATAATAGAAAAAAGCAAGTAGAACTTAAAGACCTAATCCTTTTCTGTGATTAAAATCTTCTTACTATGATGCTACCTTTAATTTAAGCAAACCTAGCGCATCTCGGTCAAAAATGGTATTTAGATTAGAAGCTCGATTATGAATTTCACCTGTTATAAACAATATACAAGTCAAATCGATCAAAAATATTTAAACTTCTACGTTTTTAGAAAAATGCTGGAGTAATTCGGGGAGGTGGGAGTAAAAAACGGTGAAAGGTAAGGTGTAGACCCTAAATAGCATCAACTTTAACAGAGTACATGCAAATAATTCAAATATTACCTCCTACAGGCAATCCAACGGAGCTTCTTAGCCGGTGGCAGTAATGGTCGGAGACGCGAGGCGACGGAGGCGGGAGGATGTTGGGGATTACAGAGTGGTGGTTTTACGTTTGCTTCCCAGTCTGATCTGATTCATAAGTTCAGGATTACAAATAGTTATAAAAAGCACCCTTCATGTTTCTTAAATTTACATAAATTCCTCTTTGGAACAATTCTTTTTCGCTACAAAGATTGGGCCGCTGCTAAAGTGAAAACAAAGTTGGGCCAAATCTGTTAGTATGGAGTGGGAGTCTATCATAGAAGCAATAAGTTTATAGGCCCAAATAATTCAGTCTTTTTTGTCCTTCTAATAATAATCAAAAGTATATTATCAATTTTGATAATACAAAAGATTGACAAGTTTGATTATGTTATAAAATATGATCAAATAACACGATAAATTATAGAGTAAAGTAAGATATGAGAGTGGAGAGAACTTGTATTCCAATATTTATGATGAAATAATCCACTTTCTAATACATATGGCTCATTATTTATACAACCAAAATAAGATGAAAGATGAATCCACATTATGATGGTGCATTATTATACTTATAAAACACATTGAAATAGTTGTTACTAATGCTAAGTAATGATAGAAAGTTATGGGAGAAATGAGGAATCCAATGGTCATTCACAAACTAATATTTCATAACACTCCTCATTGAATGACGATTGTATCATGCCTCATTAAAACCTTAGTAGGTAAAACCTCATGGGAAAAACCTTTTATTAAGGAAAAAGAGTACACGATTAATAATAGATATTGGAAACAATTGTCTCGTTAAAAACATTGCTAAGAAAACTCAGTGGGAAAAACATAGCTAAGGAAAAGAGTACAATATGTTTCCAACTCCCCCTGATCAGCACATCACTTGATTTCCTTGAAGTGCTGTATAGCAATGTTTCATACCATATTTTCAAATTTGGATGTAGGAAGTGTTTTAGTGAACAAATCGGGAAAGTTGTTACTTGATTATTTATTTATTTATTTTGGATGTTTATGCCACACTCTTTTTGAAGATCATGAGTGAAAAAGAACTTGGATGATATATGATTGGTTCTGTCTCCTTTGATAAATCATTCCTTGAATGGAGCTATACAAGTCGTATTATCTTCATATAATATGGTTGGAACATCCATGTTAGAAGTTAGACCACAATTCTTACGAATGTGTTGAGTTAACTTTCTTACCAAATACATTCATGACTTGCCTTATGAATCGATATAATCTCTACATGGTTAGAATAAGCAGAAACTAAAGTTTGTTTAGCATAATGTCAAGAAATTTTCTTACCTCCATAAGTGAATAAATAACATGTTTGAGTTCGAGCTTTGTGTGGATCGGATAAATATCCAATATCTACATCACCAATTAACTTCGCATTTGATGAATTTGATTAGTATAAATTCATATCCATTGTACCTCGAAGATACCAAAGAATGTGTTTGGCTCCATTCTAGTGTCTTCTTGTTGGACAAGAACTATATCTTGCTAATAAGTTTACGACAAAAGATATATCAGGTCTTGTATTAATATTAAGATATATTAGTGCACCAATAGCACTAAGATATGGTTCTTCGGGAATAAGCAGATTTTCATGTTTTTTATGATGTTGAAATTGGTCCTTTTTGGCATCTAAGTGTCTTACCACCATCGGGTTACTCGTGGATGTGACTTATTCATATAAAACATTTTAAGCACCTTTTCTAGATATTAATGTACAAAAACTCCATTTTTGTGTGCTCAATTTGAAGACCCAAACAAGATTTCATTTTACCAAGATCTTTCATTTCAAATTTTTCTTTCAAAAAAAAAAGTGGCATTTTCCAATTCTCTAGGAGTTCCAATTATGTTCAAATCATCTACAATAACATCAATTATGACAAATTCTGATCCGGATCTTTTTATGAATATACATGGGCTTATTGGATCATTTTTGTAGCCATTTTTCAACAAAAATGTACTTAAACAATTGAACCACATATGGCCATATTGTTTCAATCCATACAAAGATTTATTTAATTTTACTGAATATACTTCTCGAGAATTAGAAGTTTTTGCTTCTAGAACCTTAAACCCTCCTAGGATTTCTCTAGTTTTGCATGTGTTACCAAACTTATTAGATAACAGAATATAATTGCATCAACCAAAGGAGCGTACGTTTCTTTATAATTAGTTCTGGGCCTTTAAGTAAAATCTTGTGCAACGAGTCTTGCTTTATATCTAACAAGTTCATTTTATCTTTTATATTAAGCACATATACTCATTTGTGTCCCCTTGGTTTTACTCTGTTTGGTGTACGGACTACAGGTCCAAAAACTTTTCATTGAGTAAGAGAATTAAGCTCTTTAATGAATGCATCTTTCCATTTTGGACAATCTTTTCTATTTATACATTCATTTATACATTTAGGTTCAAGATCCTCATTTTCTTCCATAATCTTGTGCACAACATGATATGAAAAATTATCGTTGACTACTGACTTATGTCGGTTCCATCTTATTCCTGTCATGACACAACTTATTGAGATCTCTTCATTTTCATAATTTTCAGGTACCCCAGTTTCTTTTGTTATGTCACTGGGCTCTTCTAGAGCTTCATTAATCTTTTCAAGAGATTTTGTTTTCTTTTTTGGACCATCAATTATATTTACTCCTGTTTGTTTTCGAGGATTTTTATCTTTGGAACCGGCTGGTCTTCCACGCTTTAGGCGTGCCTTAGATTCATTGGTAGTTGTATTTTTTCCTTCTGGGATATCAATTCTAACTAGAGCATTTACAGCTGGTACATGAGACTTTGTTACTCTCTTAAGGGTCAGTAAATGCATCTGGCAATTGATTTGCTACATTTTGTAAATGAATTATCTTTTTCACTTCAAGTTCACATTGACTTGAACGAGGATCTAAAATTGAAAGTGATAATTCATTCCAAGAGATTTTATTCTCAAGCTTCTTTATTTCTCCCCCTAATGTTGGAAAAACCGATTCATCAAAATGACAATCGTCAAATCTAGCTGTAAATAAATCTCCAGTTGATGGTTCTAAATATTTTACTATAGATGGAGATTCATATCCAATATAAATTCCCATTCTTCTTTGAGGACCCATTTTTGTGCGGTGATGCGGAGAAATGGATACATAAATTGCACATTCAAATGTCCTTAGATGGGAAATATTTGGTTCCTGAACGCAAACTAGTTGAATAGGGGAGAACTTATGATAACTAGTTGGCCTGATGCGTATAAGTGATGTTGCATGTAAAATTGCATGTCCCCATGTCGATGTAGGAAGTTTAGAATGCATTAGTAATGGTCTTGCAATTAATTGAAGGTGTTTGGTTAACGACTCATCTAAACCATTTTGTGTCTGAACATATGCAACAGGATGTTCAATATTTATCCCAATCGACATGCAATAGTCATTAAAAGCTTGTGATGTAAATTCTCCAGCATTGTCAAGTCGGATTTTTTTAATTGAGTAATCGGGAAAATGTGCCATTAGGCGGATTATTTGTGTAAGTAATCTTGCGAAAGCGAGATTACAACCATATAACAAGCACACGTGTGACCATTTAGTTGACACGTCAATTAAAACCATAAAATAATTGGATGAATTGGTCCACATATATCCCCTTGAATTCTTTCTAAGAAACTAGGACTTTCATACCCAACTTTATTCAATGATGGACGGGAAATTAATTTTCCTTGAGAGCATGCATCACAAGACAATTCATTAGCTTGAAAAATCTTCTATTTTTTTTTTCAGGGAATGACCATTTGAAGTTTCAATTATTCTACACATCATAATTGATCCAGGATGGCCCAACCGGTCATGCCAAACTTTGAAGGTGTTATCATATCTTTTATTTTCAATAGCATGATATTTAATCATTCTAATATTTGTATAATACAATCCGGAGGACAATATGGGTAATTTTTCCAACAGACTTTTCTTACCCGATGTCACTTTTGTAATATTGAGATACTCTTTATCACTGTCACTAGTTGTTTCAACATGATATCCATTTGACCGAATATTCTTACAACTTAATAAATTTCTTGGTGATTTTGATGAAAATAATGCATCACCAACTGTAATTATTGTCCCTTGTGGTAATATTATATTCGCTCTTCCGGAGCCTTCAATCATTTTTGCAATACCCGGTATTGTATTAACATTTGCTTCTCCAATTGATAAGTAAGCAAAATACTTTTCATTATTCAAAATGTTATGTGTTGTTGCACTATCTGCAAGAAATATCTTCCTTATTTCTTTTGCGAATATCCATATTTCTCTTTAATAAATAAATAGAAATAAAGCCATATTTTATTACTTTGATGAGATTGTGATGGCATCATTTCTCATGAAACAAAACTACATATTATTCTTCCATCACCATCCATAGCACCACTTGTCATTTCTGGGTAGACAAGAAAATCAGCAACATCCAAATGTGACATTTCCGGTTGATATTCATAAAAATCATTTTGAATAAAATTTGTTTCGATACTTTTTTCTTTAGATTTTAGAGAAGTTTGATAAAGATCAACAAAATGCTTTATAGAGCATCATGTACGATACCAATGACCGGTCATTCCACATCGGTGACAAATATTCTCAACTTTCTTTTTTCCTTGACCACTTTTATCATTAGGATGTGGGTTTTTGTTATTTTCCAACTTCTGGTGGTTACTTGTAATCTTGTTATTTTTATGATAATTATCCACAACTTCGGTTAAACCCATGACTATTTATATGATGTTGCATTCACTTTAGGGAATGCACTAGAACCGGTTGGGATGGATTGGTGATTTTTCATCAATAATTCATTGTTTTGATTAGCCACAAGAAGACATGAGATTAATTCATATATTTTTTTAAACCTTTCTCATGGCATTGCTGCTGCAGGAGCATGTTAGTGGCATGAATAGTAGAAAAAGTTTTCTCTAGCATGGTTTTCCATAGTGAAAATAATAATAAAAATAAAGACTTGTATGTTAAGGAATCGTTAGTTTAGAAATTCCATAAAATAAGTTGTAAGCATTGTATATGTGAACTTAAAAAAATACATACCTGAAAATGACAAGAACAATAAGGAGTTAGAGCTCTATGGTAGAGTCGTGCTGATAACATGTTATAAATATGATCAAATAACAAGATAAATTATAGAGTAAAGTAATACATAAGAGTAGAGAGAACTTTATTCCAATACTTATGATGAAATCATCCACTTTCTAATACATATGGCTCACTATT